TAGGGAGGCCGGGGAGGGCCCGGAGTCCAGACTCCGCCCCTCGTGGGACTGGGAGGGGAGCAGGGGCGGATCCAACACAGCTGGGGGCCTGCTGGCTGGTTATGGGACCTGGGAGAGGAGGAGTGGGTTCACTTGAGACCTTCAGGGTTTAGAGGTAGAATTTTTGCATGGACTGTTTCCATTGCTTTGACTCAGCTTTTCTTTTACAGATCCACCTCCGACCCTTAAGCCTGAGACTCAGGTGAGTTTTCCCTTATCTTCAGGAGCCCTGCCCCTCCCCCTCCCTCCCTCCCAAGTATCTTTTTGAGCTTTCTTGCTCCAGGGATTATGCCTTTGGGAATGCCCTTTTTAAAACTCCTCTCTGGCCTCACTGTGATCCCTGTTTCCTTTCCTTCAGCCACCGGAAAAACGGAGGAGAACAATTGAAGATTTCAACAAATTCTGCAGTTTTGTCTTGGCCTATGCTGGTTACATTCCTCCTAGCAAAGAGGTAGGGATAGGAGAACTGGTTGAGGCTAGTCTCCATGTTCTAGGACTTTGGAAGGGCAATGAGCAAATGAGGTTGTATTAGTTTACGTGTAAAACTAGGGTAATTTCCAGGGCTCTTTGGGGGAAATTAGTGTCTTGGGGGTGGGAATGGGGGACTTGGGAAGCAGTGATAGAGGGTAGGTTCTTGGATTTGGGGGTGGTTTTGCAGGTGTTGCTGGTGGAAAATGCTTCTAGATACATTCTGACCCATAGTGACCCTGTAAGACAGTAGAACTGGCTTCCTGGGGTTTTTAGGCTGCAGGTCTTTATAGTATCTTCATCTTTCTCATTGCACCTGGTGGGTTTGAACCACTGACTTTAGGTTAAGCAGCTTAATACTTAGGCCTCTGTGCCACCAAGGATGAATTTTAGGGAGCTGAAAATGGTAACAATTGAAGCAGTATAGAAACAGTTCGAGAACTTGGCTCTGGTCTGTGGAATACAAAGGATCTGTTCCAAAGGCCTTGGGTACCTGAGCCAGGGGGAGAGGAGAGGACTAGAATTTGAGGGCAAAGTTAGCATGGAAGTGCTCAAGAACAGATGCTGTTAGAAATTGGGATGGGATACATTTGAGTGGGTTTTGCTGGTTAGGGCAAGTATTTGGGTATAGATTTGGTCTCTTGACTTGCAGGCTGAATTTTTGCAAGGTCTGCGATGGCCGTTGGATCTCTTGCTGACCCAGTTCTCTTTTCCCTCTTAAGGAAAGCGACTGGCCAGCCTCTGGCTCCAGCTCTCCATTGCGAGGTGAGAGTGCAGCAGACAGTGACGGCTGGGACTCAGCCCCCTCAGATCTCCGAACCATCCAGACTTTCGTCAAGAAAGCAAAGTCATCCAAGAGAAGGGCAGCTCAATCAGGTCCCACCCAGCCAGGACCCCCAAGGTCCACCTTTTCTCGCCTGCAGGCCCCTGACAGTGCCACCCTGCTTGAGAAGATGAAGCTCAAGGACTCTCTCTTTGATTTGGATGGCCCCAAAGTGGCCTCTTCCTTGTCCCCCACGTCCCTGACACACACTTCCCGGTCCCCTGCTGCTCTCACCCCAGTGTCCCTTTCCCAGGGGGACCTGACACAGCCTCCTCGAAAGAAGGACCGAAAGAACCGAAAGTTGGGGCCAGGGGGAGGGACTGGGTTTGGGGTGCTTCGGAGGCCTCGGCCAGCCCCTGGTGATGGGGAAAAGAGATCTCGAATCAAAAAGAGCAAAAAACGGAAGTTGAAAAAGGCAGACCGGGGGGATAGACTCCCGCCTCCTGGGCCTCCCAGAGCACCCCCCAGTGATACAGACTCTGAAGAAGAGGAGGAGGAAGAGGAAGAAGAGGAGGAGGAAGATGAGATGTCATCAGTGGTAGGGGGTGAAGCCCCAGCCCTTGTGCTCCCAACACCCCCTGAGGCTCCTAGGCCCTCTGCCACAGGGCCCCCTGAAGGAGTGCCTCCCACTGACAGTGAAAGCAAGGAGGTGGGCAGCACCGAAACAAGCCAAGATGGAGATGCCAGCTCTAGTGAAGGCGAGATGCGGGTCATGGATGAGGACATCATGGTAGAATCAGGTGAGGGGGTTTGGGCTGTTTAGGGGTAGCTGGGAGGATGATGTGTTGGGGGTGTTAATGGACTCAAGAACTTGGGCAGAACATCAAACCAACCTTCTTTTCTCCAGGTGATGACTCATGGGATCTGATCACGTGTTACTGCCGAAAGCCCTTTGCAGGGCGGCCCATGATTGAGTGCAGCCTGTGTGGGACATGGATTCACCTCTCCTGTGCTAAGATTAAGAAGACCAATGTCCCAGACTTCTTTTACTGCCAGAAATGCAAGGAACTTCGGCCAGAGGCCCGGCGGTTAGGAGGCCCTCCGAAATCTGGAGAGCCTTGACAGCACCATCTCCAGACTGGAACTTCAGCTGATAACACGACTTGGGAACTGAGCCTCAGGGTCCTCAGCCCATCCCCTGGAGCTTGGGCACTGTCCCACTTCCAAGCAGGAATTCCTAAGAGAGACTTGCTTGGAAATGAGTGTCATGTTGCTGTCCTCCCCTTTCCTCCTTCCTTTCCAATCTCTGGATTTGAACATGGACCCACTCCATTTGGGGGTGAGAGGCTTGTCTGGGTCCCTAGACACACAATCCCTGCCCCCTTGGACCTGCCACCCCTCACTTTGTGTGTCAAGGTTGGAAATGGGATGGAATTTTATAGAGTCTATGAAACTCTAGTGTAAATATAGCACTCCCCTCCCTCATCGTTTCTTCTCCTCTCTCACTCATTTATTTTCTTATACACCGGTTATATTTTTAATTTTGGACTTCCCCTTTGGGGCATGGGAGCTCAAAGGCAGAGTACCAGAGTCTGGCTGAGGGAGGAAGGAAAGCAGAAAGGAGACATTCTCTCTTGTTTTTAATAATAATGGCTAGCTGTTTGTACAGATGGCCTGTGTGTTGTAAATAAAGCAGAGTGGGCTCTTTTGTGTTTATAGCCCTTACTGTACTACTTGGATGGGAGCCTTTGGAAAAGCTGGAAGAACAACTCAAAATTACCAGTTTGAAATGCCGCTGCTCTGGACCTTTCCCAGCCCATGATATTCAGGCATCAGTTAGGCATTACTCTACCCAACTCACTGTATAGGACCCCCATGATACACTCTCCAGTGTGTCCGAGGAGTTGCCTCGACTACCCCACCGTGGTGGGATCTGGTTACCTGCTCCCCAAGGGTAGGGAGGTCAACCTAAGCATGGATATGTGGAGGACGCGGGTGGGGACACCTTCGGGGGCGGGGCCATTGAGGGTTGGGAGACCGTTGCAGAAAAGGCAGCAGTCACGTGGCAAGGGGGGGGAAAAATCGTGTGGTCACGTGACCGGGCGTGATCACGTGATGCGAGGGCGGCACGGGATCGTGAGGCGGAGTTAGGACACGTGATGTGATGGATGGGCGGGGCAGTGGAGGGTACCCGCAACGTCGGCGGAGTTGGCGCGCGGCGAGTCCGCGACTACAGGGCGAACCCCCGCCCTCCGCCCCGCTGACCTCCACCGTTTATTTCTCTTGAGCACCTCTCCGGAACTGCTCCGGTACGGTCCGCGCTCCCGCGTCAGTGTGCTGGTGTGCGCAGGCGCGGCGAGAGTGATTAGCCCCTTTGGGTGGGCGGCGAAGCGCGGGTGATACCATGGCGGGCGGTGGTGTCGGGGAGACGAAGGTGATTTACCACCTGGATGAGGAAGAGACTCCCTACCTGGTGAAGATACCTGTCCCCGCCGAGCGCATTACCCTCGGCGATTTCAAGAGCGTCTTGCAGCGGCCTGCGGGAGCTAAGTACTTTTTCAAGTCTATGGATCAGGATTTCGGGTGAGCGCTAGGCCTAAACTGCTGGGGCCTGTGCTGAAATGGATTGAACGATGTTGAGGGGCACAGGTCTATTATGGTGCATACTGGGTGTTCATAGTGGAGCAGATTTTAGTCTGCTGGGGGTAGATTGAGACCGACGAGGGTATACTTGGGGAGGATTGAGGCACTCGAAGCTGTAGGACAGACTGAGCTATCCTAAACCAGATTAGAACAGATTAGGCTGTACTGAAGTACATTGTGTCACACTGGTTTATTTTGGGGTGTTCTCGATTGTACTAAGTAAGCCAGGTGAATCTATTGTCTGGTAATTTAGTACATTCTGAACAATTCTGTAGAATATAGATATTCTGGAATGTTTTGATGTAAGATTAGGCCATCTTGTGCAATTTGGGGCATTTTAGCATATATTGGGGGTGTTCTAGCATATACTGGAACAGGCAGGGTTGTTTGGGACATTCTGTGAATTGCTGTTGAGTGGGTCCTGACTCAAATGAGTCTATGTATAACAACATAATGTTGCAGGTTTTTGTGCCATTCTCACAATAGTAGGTGTATTTGGACAAGTTGCAACCACTGTGCCAACCCACCTCATTAAGGGTCTTGCTCTTTTTTGTGGACTCTCTACCTACCATAGTGTCCTTCACCAGGGATTGGTCACTCTAGTGTATAGTAATACGGATGTATTGGGATGTTCTGTTTGAAGTCTAGGAAAAACTTACACCGTTCTGGTCTCCACTGGGGTAGACATAGTTACCTTGGTTAATGTTTTTATCACAGCCGCTTATATTGGATCATAGTATTAGAGTAGACAGGGCTGTTGGCAGTTTATATTAATACAGACAGCAAAGTTGTATTGGGCTATTCCAGTTTATATTAGTCCAGACAGATGTGTGTGGGCATGTTCTAGACTGTGCTAGAACATAGACTACGGTTGTGTTACCCTGGGGTAAGTAATATAGAACCTTTAGCATTATTTTGGGCTAGACTGGCACTATAAACAATGCAGAATAAGCCGTTTTGTGTGTAGAGCCTTTGGCATTGAGCCCTTACTTCCTCAGTTTTAGCTCTTTAAAGAAGATTGGATTAGTTATTAGTTTAGGATAGTCTGAGTGCTTTGCATGGAGATACCTTGAGTTTAAAATAATGGTTCTTCAGTATGTCAGCAGTGTAATCTTGAGCAATTTATTGAACTTTTGTGCCTCGGTTTCCTTATCTGTGAGATGGAATAACATGTTTAGTTCAGGCGTTTGGCCCAGGACATTCAATGTTAGCGTTAAGGCTGATTGATCCATAAGCGGGAGTCCTGGTGTGGCGTGGTTCTTTAGGATAAATACTTGGTTGCTGACTGCAAGGTTGGTGATTCAAACCCACTATCCACTCCTCAGAAACCCTATACAGGGTCACTATGAGTTGGAACTAACTCAGTGGTACTTAACAGTCCATAAACTAGGTTAAGATATTATGGAGTAACTTGTCTTGGAGTAGGCTGGGTTAGGTTGAGATTGGGTTACACTGAGAAGGTAATGACATTCTGAGACAGATTGATAGTGATTGAGTTGTGTTAATAAGGACTGGTCACAAGACACCAAACAGATTGAGTTGGCATACGTTCAGGTGTCCTAACTTGGGAGGGGGGGTGTATGCATGAAAGAGGAGGAGGAAAAGTAGAGTCTCTTTGACTATTAAATGTGAAGGATCCCTGTGAAATATAAGTGGACCTGCTAACTCCAAGATGAGCAGTTCAAATGTACCAGCAGCTCTGTGTGAGAAAGATGAGGCTTTCTGCTCCCGTAAAGATTTACAGCCTCAGAAACCTTATAACAGGGTTGCTGTGAGTCTGAACCTACTCAGCACATACCCACCGCCACCACTAAGTATATAAAAAAAAGAAAGACTAAATGCCACGTAATGTGCTGCATGGTCAGGACATGGAATTGAACAGAATAGGATTGAGTTTACCGTCAGGAACCCAAGGCTACACATGTGGATATGTCAGACTGACCGTTCGGTCTTGAGCAGATTACTTAGGGCAGAGTTTTGTGTTGATAAAGCACAGGGGAGTCCGAAGGTGGGCTTCTCTCTTCCTTGGAGCTTTCAGCCTAATGCAAAGGTACTAATCCTTTGATCTAATGGGCATTTTCACCTAGCCAAAGACAGCACATTTGGAAAGATCTCTCTGAACGAAAGCTAGAGAAAACCAAAGGAAAGCTTGAGTAGAAAAGATGTAGATGAAGACCCAAAGCCTTTTCAGGGAAGGTGTGTGAGGAATAAGGGTGGAAATTGGGCGATCTGTCAGCAAGGTGCCTAAGGTTAGATATTTTGACCAGCTGAGGTAACCATATGGAATGGTCTTTGAAATTAGGTGTTGTTAAGAGCCGCTGAGTTGGTTCTGACTTGGTGGAGAGATTTAATTCCAACTCAGGAAGTCTTACTGTGATCTGAAGATGAATTTGGAGAAAGTGGAAGTAAATATAGGAGAGAGAATTGAATTTGAATAGTTCTTCAGGTGGAAAAGAACTGTAGCAGTGTAAGAGGAGAGGGCTTGGACAAGAGAGAAAGCCAACACCCTTGGGCTGGCTAAAGACAGGGCAATGGTAGAAACTTTGGAGTAGGGGAGCTAGTCCAGTCTTACTAACCTTTATCTTGTCTTGGCAGGGTGGTGAAGGAAGAAATTTCTGATGACAATGCTCGCCTGCCCTGCTTCAATGGAAGGGTGGTGTCCTGGGTAAGGGGCCCTGGCTCTGAGGACCAGAACCTTCTTCATTTGCTGAGTTCCATCAAACCTTGGTCTGTTTCTATAGATCAGCCCCTGTGCAGATGTGGAGACCCTGGCTCTGCCTTCCTAGTCTTTTGTAGAGCTGACTGGAGCCCCTTGACCTATTCCTTCTGGAGCCTCTACTGTAGAGTATTGGTGTTTTGAGGCTCTTTTCCATGTCCCCTTTGCTAATCCTTTTCCTTATTTCCATCACATACATCCTACTTCCCAATTGAGCTGTTTTATATCATTTGAACTCCTCTAGCTAGTGTCATCAGATACCCCTCAACCCGAGATGGTTCCCCCAGCCCATGAGCCTCGCACAGAATTGGTACCTCCACCCCCACCACTACCCCCTTTGCCACCAGAGAGGACCAGTGGCATTGGGGACTCCAGACCTCCATCTTTTCAGTGAGTTCTTGGTGTTCTTGAGACCAGGGAAGGGAGATGAGGTGGGAGTGCAAGCCATACAGGAGGGGACGTGGAGGGTTTCCACCACTGACAGGGGTGGAAACCATTTCTGTCCTCCCAGCCCTAACGTCTCCAGCAGCCGTGAAAACCTGGAGCCGGAGACAGAAACAGAGTCAGTTGTGTCTCTGAGGCGGGAGCGACCACGCAGAAGAGACAGCAGTGAGCATGGCGGTGAGGGCCCTGTGTAGAGTGGGAACTGGGATGTGGCGGGCCAGACCCAGGCCTCAGAGCGGGTAAGGAGCATGTGGCCTGGCTCCTGAGGTCCCTGTTCATACTAAGGTGGGGGCCACAGGCCCAGTGGACCCTCGAGGCTGGAGCGCCACTTGGCTGGTTACGAGAGTTCCTCCACCCTGATGACCAGTGAGCTGGAGAGTACCAGCCTGGGGGACTCGGACGAGGATGACACCATGAGCAGGTATGGCTTCTCCCAGCCCCCTTCCTGCCTTCCTTCCTTTCTCCCTTCCTCCCAGGTAGTGTTCTCATTCTCCCTGATCTCCTGACCACTTGTGCCTGTGAGCATTCCTTTTCTTTTCTGAGAAGCAGAACTACTGAGGGACTTAAGTAGTCTGTGGAAAAAATCTGTTTTATCTTTTCATTCCATTTTTCCATGAATGTTGTGAAGCTCCCAAGCTGGTAGCACAGTGGGCTGCTGCTAATTTTAGTCAGTGGTTCAAACCTACCAGCTGCTGTGAGGGAAAAGATGAGGCTGTCTGCTCCCAGAAAGATTTTTAGTCTTGGAAATCTTAAGGAGTACTTTTCCTCTGTTCTGACTGGTCCACTATGAGTCAGAATCGATTTGATGGTTAAATGCTGTCGAGTTGATCTGACTCATAGCGACCCTGTATAGGGTTTCTGAGGAGTGGCTGGTGAATTTGAACTGCTAACCTTGCACATCAAACCTACCGTGTGGTCCAGTGCTTATGCTTCAGCATCTGGATTTGATGGTGGTGGTTGTTAAGTGCTACTGAGTCAGTTGCGACCCTATATGTAGGGTTTCCTAGGAGCGGCTGGTGAGCTTGAACTGCCAGTCTTGCTGTTTAAATGACTTTGCAGTCCGGCACATTAACCCACAGCACCACACCAGGACTTTGGATTTGATGGTAGTAGATTTTATATATACAGGGGAGCTTAAAAAAAAGTTTATGGAACATTTTCGTTGTCTTTTGATTCTGTTTGTCCATGAACTTTTTAAATGTGTATATATGTATTTGTTGTTGTTATGTGCCATTAAGTTGGTTCCAACTCATAGCCACCCTGTGTAGGTTTTCTGAGGAGCAGCTGGTGAATTTGAACTGTCAACCTTGTGGTTCAAACTAACCTAGTGGTTGGTCCAGTGCTTATCCTAAAGGTCAGTGGTTGAAGCTCACTAGACACTTCTTGGGAACCCAAGACAGGGTTACTATGCCTCGAAACCAACTCGATGGCACTTAACAACAACAACGATTTGTATGTATGTACATGCACATGTAGAGAGAGCACAGTGACTCTGTAGGATAAGCACTGGACTGCAAACCACAAGATCAGTGGTTGGAGCCCACCAGTTGCTCTGTGAGAGAAAGATGAGGCTTTCTGCTCCTGCAAACATTTGTCCTTGTTAGGTTTCTTTGAGTCGGTTACCCATAGCAACACGATGCACAACAGAATGCAACACTTCCCGGTCCTGTGCCATCCTCACAATCATTGTTAAACTTTAGCTCATAGTTGCTGCCACTCTGCCAATCCATCGCATTGAGGATCTTCCTGTTTTTCACTGATGCTCCACTGTACCTAACATAATGTCCTTCTCCAGAGACTGGTCCCTCTTAGTAATATGTGCAAAGTATTACAGATGAAGTCTGGTCATCTTGACTTCTAAGCAGCATTCTGGCTGTACTTCTTCCACCACAAATTTGTTCTACTGACACTGTATGGTACTTTTAATATTCTCCAAAGTAATTCTTAGCACCAAAGCATCAATTCTTCTATGATCTTCTTTATTCATTGTCCAACTTTCACATGCATGTGAGGCTATTGAAAATACCATGAGTTGGGGAAATTTAGTCCTCAAACTGACGTCTTTGCTCTTGGACACTTTAAAGAGGCCTTGTGTAGCAGATGCCTAGTACAGTAAGTCATTTGATTTCTTGACTGCTGCTTCCATGAGTGTTGATAGTGAATCCAAGCAAAAATGAAGTCTTTTGACAACTTCAAATTTTTCTCCATTTATCATCATATTTATTTATTTATCTAATGGTGAGGATTTTTGTTTTCTTTACATTGAGACACAATCCATACTGAAGGTTGTGGTCTTTAATCTTCATCAGTAAGTATTTTAAGTCCTCTTTGCTTTCAGCAAGCCAAGGTTATTTATCTTCATATTGCAGGTTATTAATGAGTCTTTCTCTAATCCTTCAGAAACCCTGTTGCTATGAGTTGGAACCAACTCCACGGCACATCACCACCACCACCACCACCTCTAATCCTGGTGCCACATTCTTCATATAATCCAGTTTCTCAGATTATTAGCTCAGCATACAGATTGAATAAGTATGGTGAAAGAATACAACCCTGGCACACACCTTTTCTGATTTTAGGTGTCCCCTTGTTCTGTTTGAATGACTTCCTCTTGGTCTATGTATGGGTTTCTTACAAGCACAGTTAAGTGTTTCAGAATACCCATTCTTCGCAGTGTTGTCCCTAGCTTGTCATGATCCACATAATTAAAGCCTTTGCCTGGTCAATAAAGAGCATTGGCAAACATCTTTCTACTATTCTCTTTTTTTCAGCCAAGATCCATCTGACGTCAGCAGTGATACTCCTTGTACCACATAGGTGTGTGAATCTGGATTGAACCTCTGGCAGTTCTGTCAGTGTACTGTTGGCAGCCGTTTTTGAACCATCTTTAGCAAAATTTTACTTACATTAATATATGATATTAATGATATTGTCAGGTTTTTGCATTCTGTTGGGTCACCTGTCTTTGGAATGAGCACAAATATAGATTTCTTTTAATCAGAGATTCTTCCAAATTTCTTGGCATAAATGAATGCGTGCCTCCAGTGCTGCATCAGTTTGTTGAAAGATTTCAATTTGTATTCCATCAATTCCCGGAGTCGTGTGCATGTTCAGTGCACCTTGGACTTCTTCCTTCATTACCATTGGCTCTTGATCATAGTAACTCTTGAAATGGTTGAATGTTGACAATTTCCTTTTGGTACAGTGACTTTGTATATTCCTTCCTTTTCTTTTGATGCTTTCTGCATCATTTAATATTTTGCCCATAGAATACTTCAGTATTGCAAGTCAAGGCTTGAATTTTTTTTTTCCAGTTCTTTCAACTTAAGAAATGCTGAGTGTGTTCTTCCCTTTTGAATTTTTAACTCCAGGTCTTTGTACATTTCATTATAATAGTTGACTTTGTCTTCCTGAGCTTTCCTTTGAAATTTTTTGTTCAGCTTTTACCTCATTTCTTCCATTTGCTTCAGCATCTCTATACTGGAGAACAAGTTTCAGAATCTCTTCTGACATCATTTTGGTCTTTTTCTTTTTTTTTGTCTTCTTAATGACCTTTTGCTTTCTTCCTGTATGATGTTCTTGAAGTCATCCCACAGCTCTTTTGGTCTTTGGTCATTAGTTTTATAATACATCAACTCTGTTCTTCAGATCTCCAGATTCAGGTGGGATATGTTCAAGGTCATATTTTGGCTCAGTTGGCTTGTAATTTTTTTCAGTTTCATCCTAAACTAGCATATGAACAATTATTTCACCGTTTCCCTTTGGCTGTGTTTTGACTGCTAACATGGAGGTTTTCCACAGTCTCTTTCCACAAAGGTAGTCAGTATGATTTGTGTGTCTTTCAGCTGGTGAGGTCCATGAGTATAGTTGTCTTTTATGTTGGTTAAAAAAGGTATTTGCAGTGAAAAAGTCAGTGGTCTTGCAAAATTTTATCTTGCTGCCTCCAGCATCGTTTCTATCACCAAGACCATATTTTCCAACTATTGATCTTTTCTCTTTGTTTTCAACCTTTGCATTTCTTTCACTGGTAATTATCGATACATCTGATTGCATGTTTGATCAATTTCAGACTGAAGTTCTCGGTAGAATTCGTCAATTTCATTATCACTGGATTTAGTGGTTGGGGTGTAAATTCGAATAATAGTGATATTAACTGGTCTTCCTTGTAGGGGTATGGATATCATCCTTATCAGACTGCATTATACTTCAAAACAGATTTTCAAATGTTCTTTTTGATGATGAGTACAATGCCATGTCTCTTTTGTTTGTCATTTCTGGCACAGTAAACCATATGATTGTCAGTTCCAAAGTGACCATTACCAGTCCATTTCAGCACACTAATCTAATGCCTAGGATATCTGTGCATCTGTATTACATTTAGTTTTTAACAATTTCCAATTTTCCTATATTAATAACTTCATCACATTCCGTGTTCCGATAATTAATGATTACAGCTATTTCTCATTTTGAGTTGTGCGGCATCTGCAGTGAAGGTTTGAAAGCCTTACTCCATTTGCATCTTCTTGGTCACCTCTACTTTGAGGCTGCAGGTCTTTTCCAGTCACCCCTTGAGTGCTTTCCAACCTTAAGGACTCATCTTCCTTCACTATATCCGACAGTCTTCAGGTGTTATCCATAATGTTTTTCAGTATTCTGTATTCTGGTGCTGATAGTGTTCTACTGCTATTCATAAGGCTTTCAGTGGCTAAACATTCAGAAATAGTCTCTTCTTTTTCCTAATCTGTCTGAGTCTAGAAACTCTGCTGAAACCTGTCTACCATACTGGTATTTAAAATACCAGTGGCGTAGCTTCCAGCATCACAACATGCAAGCCACTATAGTATGACAGACTGACAAACAAGTGATGGCTGCAGATATACAGCCTCAGAAACCCTGTACAGGTTGCTGTGAGTTGGAACTGACTTGCCAACACTTAATGAACTAATATATGTACTTGTACATATGTTGTACATTTTATACATATATATGTTTTGTACATATATACATACTTGGTGGCACTTAACAAAATGGAGTCTGGTGTGGCAGTGTGGGTTAATGTGCTGGACTGTAAAGTCAGCTTAAACCTCAAGGTCGGCAGTTCAAGCTCACCAGCCACTCCTTGGAAAGCCTATACAGGGTCGTGACTGACTCTATGGTTTTTATAACAACATATATATATATATATCTATAGATAGACAAATTAATATACCTGTAAAATTAGTTTGTGCAGTTATGTGAACTGAGAAGTCCATAGGTCTGGTGATAGACCAGAGGCTCATAGGATTGCTGGCTCATGGGATTGTGGGTGGCCGGTGGCAGACTGGTGGAATGAGTGCAGAGTTCTGTCAAAATATAGTCTGGAGGCAGACTGTACCTTAAGGAATGACTGATTATATTAGATTATATGATGGTAGCTTATTTATTACATTATATTATGGAACAGCAAGAAGCTCTGGTAGCGTAGTGGTTACGAATCGGGCTACAAACCTCAAGGTCAGCAGTTCAAAACTACGAGCTGTTCCGCGGGAGAAAGATGAGGCTTTTTGCTCCCGTAAAGATTTACAGCCTTGGAAACCCTGTACAGGGTCACTATGGATCGGAACTGACTCCACGGCACATAACAACAACAACATTATGGAACAGCAGCTAGTGCAGTGTGTGACCAAGTCACTGGGAATTGTATCTTATAGCCAAGGTGACACGTTAATTATGATCACATATTCCGAATGCCAGGTTCAGCAGCTCCACAGAGCAGAGCAGTGCCTCCCGCCTTCTCAAACGTCACCGGCGGCGGAGGAAACAGCGGCCACCCCGCCTGGAGAGGGTGAGTGGGTCCCCAGGGGAGAACTGTGGATTAGAGATGTTGAGGGGCAGGTTTTGATTTAAAGCCACTAGGACAGAGACTATGAGGTGCGCCCCCCCCCTCCCCCCCGCCCCAGGACTTATATCATCCCTAGATTGTCGAAGGGGATTCCATCGCCTTTCCTTTTCTCACCACAGACCTCATCTTTCAGCAGTGTCACTGACTCCACAATGTCTCTTAACATCATCACAGTAACGCTCAACATGGGTATGCAGTGAGCCTGGGCTGGGGGGTAGAGAGAACCTGGGCTCCTGGGTTCCAGGGGGGACAGGGCTTGGGGCTTCCCTTCGTCCCATGGACTCCCTCCACAGAGAAATACAACTTTCTGGGCATCTCCATTGTGGGCCAGAGCAATGAGCGAGGAGATGGTGGCATCTACATCGGCTCCATCATGAAGGGTGGGGCTGTGGCAGCTGATGGGCGCATTGAGCCTGGAGACATGCTTTTACAGGTGTGTTGGGGTAGGGCCACCAGTGCTGACTTGGGCAGGGGCTCTAGGCCCTCCCACTGGTCCTGACTCTGCCTCTCACCCATTTGCCCTCATTTCCAGGTGAATGACATGAACTTTGAGAACATGAGCAACGATGATGCTGTGCGGGTGCTGAGGGACATTGTACACAAGCCAGGGTGAGCCCCTGAGCTGTGCTCAGCTCCCAAGGCCTCCCTGTGTTTTCCTTTTCGTCTTCCGTTTTGCAGTTGTAAACAATTATAAACCACTCATGTATGTATATACTGTAATGAGTATCTCTAGAGCATGTACACCGATCGCCAAACCACGATCACAAAATAGAAGATCTTGCAATATCCCAGCCACCTCTACCCCCCCAACCCCCCTCCCGCAGTGGTCCTTCCTGCTTCCACCACCTGACTCCCTCTATAGGTAGTCACTCTCTGGACTTGTTTGTTATTCCCGTAACAAAGAAAAGCTTTCCTTCAAGTGCTAGTTTTATAACTCCTTGTTGTGTCTTTGAATAGCGCAGTTCAGTCTGTCTGTCCTTGGAGCTTGTCAGTGAGCTGTACAATGTGTACACTTGTTCCCCTAGCAAAATGTCTGTGAGAGTTACCCATGCCATTGAAGTTGTCTGTATTGTGGAACCGTCCACCCTCCCCTTTGGCCCAGCCATGTGTTTTGTCTTCTCCCTTTCTATTCCTCAACCCGTTCTCTTCCCAGGCCTCCACCCCCCAGAAATCTCTTTCTGCACCCCTCTCCCTGACCTTCTTAGGAACCCTGGTGGCATGGTAGTTAAGCACTTGGCTGCTGATAGGTCAATGCTTTGAACCTATCAGCAGCTCTAGGAGAAAAGACCTGGTGATTTGCTCCCATAAAGTTGATTGCCTGAGAAACCCTGTGGGGCAGTTCTACTCTGTTCTATAGGGTTATTGTGCATTACAGTCAACTCCATGGCATATACCAGCCCTGTTCCCCAACTGTCCTTCTCCTCCTCCCCACAGCCCCATTGTGCTGACTGTGGCCAAGTGTTGGGACCCCTCTCCACAAGCCTACTTCACGCTCCCCCGAAGTGAGTGATGCTCAGGACTGAGCTGAGAGAATAGGGCAGGGCTGGGAGGGTCAGAGCTGAGCTTGGGTGTGTTTGAGGGATGGACAGGGCTGACTTTCTGGGACTCGCTATGATTGTCTTGGCCTTCCCTGTCCCAGATGAGCCCATACAGCCTATTGACCCTGCCGCCTGGGTCTCCCACTCGGCCGCGCTGACCGGCGCCTTCCCAGCCTACCCTGGCTCTTCATCCATGAGCACCATTACATCTGGGTCCTCTCTGCCTGATGGTGAGCCCTCAGCCCGCCTCAGCCCGCCCCACCCCCTGAGTGATTGGACCCTGCATCTGATGCCCCCTTTTCTCCGCTGGCAGGCTGTGAAGGCCGGGGTCTCTCCATCCATACCGATATGGCATCTGTGACCAAGGCCATGGCAGCTCCAGAGTCTGGACTGGAAGTTCGGGACCGCATGTGGCTCAAGATCACTATCCCAAATGCCTTTCTGGGTGCGCCTGAAAGGGAGGAAGGCGCCCCAAGCTGGGATGGGCATGGGGGGGAGGTGGCAAAGACAGGAGTTAGGGAGGAGAACCTAAGGCCTTTTTCCCTCTGGGCATCCAGGCTCAGATGTGGTTGACTGGCTCTACCATCATGTGGAGGGCTTTCCCGAGCGGCGCGAGGCCCGAAAGTATGCCAGTGGGTTGCTCAAGGCGGGCCTCATTCGGCACACTGTCAACAAGATCACTTTCTCCGAGCAGTGCTACTATGTCTTCGGAGACCTCAGTGGTGGCTGTGAGAGCTGTGAGTCCCCATCCCCACTCCCTGGAGAGGGATGTTGCTTGCCTGGTCTGATCTTTTCTTCAACACCCAACTCAGCCTAGAAACTGCAGCCAGGGTCACTGTCCCATGGAGCAGTTGGTGATACTGGCCAGGTGGTGTGGAGCTGAAAATCCACAGGGTCGGTTAGCAAGACAGCAGGGACCTGTTCAGGGCCTTGTCCATGAGAGAAAGGGCACTTTTCCTGAGTCAGATCAAAGACTGTGAGCTCTAGGCACTGGCTCTGCCCCTCCCCTGGGGAATTTCATGTCAGAGACCATCAAATCTTCTATGTTGACTCAATCATGGGTGGTTCCGGAGAAATGGTGCCTCGTTCTTGTTCATTCTGTCTGGGGGTCCTGGTCTCTTGAAGCAGTAACTTTAAAAAAAAAAATGTTTTATTGTGAATTATGTGATAGTTTACCTGGGAGAACATTAGCTTTACATTCATCCTATCATATATCGTTACATTGCCATGGTTACAATCCCTTCAAAGCATCATCAACCAACCAAAGGGTATACCCTACAAGCCTGCCCCCAGGTCATCAGCACACAGCCCTTCTCCCTCTTTGGGTCTAAAGTTCCCACCGTTCCATCTTGCCACATCATCGTCTCTGCCTCCATCTGGCGTCACTGTTTCTCTGGGTTGGGTCCTGCACTCCCTTATGGTCCCAGGGACCTCCACTCCTGGATGAAGCAGTGACTTCTTAATCTTACTTTTCAGACCTGGTCAACCTGTCTTTGAATGACAATGATGGTTCCAGCGGAGCTTCGGACCAGGACACCCTGGCTCCTCTACCTGGGGCTACCCCATGGCCCCTGCTACCCACCTTCTCCTATCAGTACCCAGCTCCCCACCCATACAGTCCCCAGCCCCCACCCTACCATGAGCTTTCGTCCTACACGTATGGTGGGGGCAGTGCCAGCAGCCAGCACAGTGAGGGTAAGTCACCTTATGGGTGGTGGTATAGCCTGGGTCTTAGGGGAAGGAGATGGGGGAGCAGGGTTGGGGAGGCTCAGGGACCCTGGGCTGGGCTCAGCTGCACCCCTTCCCCCACAGGGAGCCGGAGCAGTGGGTCTACACGGAGCGATGGTGGGGCAGGGCGCACTGGGAGGCCTGAGGAACGGGCCCCTGAGTCCAAATCCGGCAGTGGCAGTGAGTCAGAGCCTTCCAGCCGGGGGGGTAGCCTTCGACGGGGTGGGGAACCTGGTGGGGCTGGTGACGGGGGCCCTCCTCCATCGAGGGGTTCTTCAGGGGTTGTCCCCAATCTCCGAGCCCACCCAGGGCTCCATCCCTATGGGCCACCTCCTGGCATGGCCCTCCCCTATAACCCCATGATGGTGGTTATGATGCCCCCACCCCCACCTCCTGTTCCCCCAGCAGTGCAGCCCCCAGGGGCCCCTCCCATTAGAGACTTGGGCTCTGTGCCCCCTGAGCTGACAGCCAGCCGCCAGAGCTTCCACATGGCCATGGGTAACCCTAGTGAGTTCTTTGTGGATGTGATGTAGACCCCCCCCCCAGTGGGGCCACTTGGTGCTCCTGCTGTGATTGGTGTCCTGTCAATCACGTGCTCACAATGCCTCTGGCTGCCCTGCTCAGCCTACTGGCTGCTGCTGTCTGTCGGGGCTGTTGCCACTGTGACTCCTACCAGCCGTGCCTGGTTCCTCCCTCTTCTCTCGGGGGTGTACAAGGGACCTTTCATTATTTTTAGCTTTATTATTTTTTTATAAGCCTTTTGAGGATTAAAAATAGACTTTCTTACACTTTTTGGAATATTTTTTTATAGACAGTTCCTCTTTTATATGAAGAATCCCTGTTCTCCCAGGCCCCTCTTCTAACCCCAAAATGTGACCTCCTACTCCAGTCACCCAGTTAGTTATGCCCTGTGCAGGGTGGTGGGTGGTCAGTGGTACCCTGGGAGGAGGAAGGGGATTGGTCACCCCAGACAGCAGTTGAAGGAAACTGGGGTCTTGGGGGGCCATGTAGCTGCCTTTGTTAATCTATTTATTTTAGTCACTTGTATAAAACACCAAATAAAGCAATAGAGGCAAACTCCCCACCGCCTCTGGCTTCTTTCTTTGGGAGGGATGCAGGTAGCCAATGGAAAGAACACAGCAGCGAAGTTTGACTTGTCAGAAACTTTATTATTTCTGAGGCAGTTAGTGCTCCCTCAGAGCAGGCACAGTGCTGGGGGCAGGAAGACCCCTTCAAGGCAGAACCAGGGTCAGGAGGGAAAGGGGTCTGGGCTTTGGTTTGCGAAAAGGCACATGTAAGTTGGCCAGACCCTGGTTGAGAGTGCTTTTAGAAGCCAAGGGGGTTGCTGGTGACCACCCCACCCTGCTCCACCATGGCCTGGGAGATACTTTTGAAGTTTCGGAAGAGTTCCTGCTGCTGGGGGTCCGACTGGAGGGCAGCCATGCCCTCTCGTACCCGGGCTGCGGCCTGTGGGATGGAGAGGAGAGGGGGGTGTCAGGGTGTGCCTCGAGTCCCCTATCTATACTAGGTAACTTGAGTCTCACCTCAATACACCAGCTGTCACAGAGCATTTTCTCATGCTGGGCTGTGGGGTGGCCCTCACTCAGGGATCTTGAGGCCCTGGTGGGAAGTAGAAGGGGAAGAAGTCTGTGCTGTGAGCTGGGCCCAGGAACCCCTATGGCCCAGGCTTCCCCACTGCTCCTCACCTGGAGAGAACCACCACCATGGCGTAGAGGTCAATGGCGCTGTCTGCCAGGCGCTGCAGCACAAACTGCTCATCTGTCAGGTAGATGGAGTGGGGGTGGGGAGGGTGTGATTCTGAACAGGGTGGGGTGGAACGGGGTGGGGTGGGGTGGGGCTGGGAGGAGAGCGCACTCACTGACAATCCCCTTCTTATGTTTTATCAGCTTGGCCTCCACCACCGTGGCAAACTGCTCCAGAGCCTGCACTGCCTGAGGAGATTGGGAGGGTGGACATGCTCAGAGGGTGTACACGCCCTCTCACTGCACTTGACTCCCATGTCCCTCACACCCTTGACCACTTACCAAGTCACCGCTCCGACTCAATTCTGGGTGGATGATTCCACTGAGACTCAGGCCACTGCCCAGCCCTGTCCGCCTGAAGATGGTATGGGAAGGATGATTGGTTTATTGTCATATGCCACCCTGCCCTCCCCTGGCCTGGGCCCTGCCCCTAACCTTACCGCCTCAGCTGTTTCCCGGCCTCTCCTAACAGGAGGCCAGCATTTCCAAAAGGGTTCTTCAGAGCATTGCCAAGCCCAGAGAGTTCTTTTCCTTTGTCCTGTGGGGGAGGAGGGTCCATCCACTACCAGTCAGGACTCACTGTCTTTCTTGCCTCCTCCCAATTCTTTTCCTCCTTACCATACAGCCCTGCAGAGCCACAAACAGCCGGAGAATGTCATTTGTCCCCTCAAAGATCCGGAAAATGCGAATATCACGAAGCACACGCTCCACACCAGGTTCCTACCATCAGAGAAGACGGATTGTAAATCCCTGCTGAGACGTGACTTACCCGACCACCTGGCTCTACCCCATGCAGAGGACCAGACTATCGTGTACCTTCATGAAGCCCATGCCCCCCATGATTTGGATGCACTCATCTGTCACCTTCCAGGCTGCCTCCTAGTGACAGAGAACTAGATTAGATCGGTTTGGAAGCCAAACCACTCCGACTCAGCACACCCTGGGAACTCACCGAGCCAAAGATTTTGCTGATGGCAGCCTCTATCTGGAAGTCCTTGGATCCCTGGTCCATGTTGGCACTCACCATGTAAGCCATGGACTGAGAATGCACGGTCAAGACATAGGAAGGAGAATTGAAAAGAGCTGTATCAGAGGCGACCTTAAGTCTCCAAAACCAGACCAAGTGGGACCTAGCTTTACAGTGCCCATGTATCACCCCTAACACTATAATCATGCATCTCGAAATATGTGGTCCCCTGGGTTAGTTCATCAGGGATTTCAGACTTTGACTTATTGAAAGGGTTCCCAGCATTAAGGGGTACACTTGGGGTAGAGGTAACTTATGAGACTTTTGGGAAGCACCTTGGCAGAGCACACTCCTGTTCTGCAGACGCTGAGCTGAGCTGACTATGCCTCTCCGCATCCCCTAGGGCATTGGTGTGAAGCTGGAGACCCACTGCCCCAGGTGCTGCTGGGGGTTGTAGTCTGACACAACTTGGGAAGACAGCTCTAGGGAGCAGGGCAGAGGGCCTCTCACCTCAGTCACATACTGCAGCATAGCCATCCGGGCCAGCTTCTCCTGGATCAGCCCAAAGCTGTGAATTTTCTCGCCAAACTGGGTACGGTTAGCAGCATGATCAACCTGGAAAGGGCACACTGTTGCATGGTAGTTCTACAGTCTCCTAGGAGAGGGGCTGGAGATGGGACTAGTTTCTGCTGGATGGAGGCCCAAGATAGCGAGTCAGGAACA